CTAGTATAATGATTATCATGCATTAAAGGAAAAATTAACACTCAAAAAACAAATAAATATGACATTTTCATAAAATTGAAGGCAAAATAATTAGTTACAATAATGTAAGGATTAAGAAAAAATTTGAATATTAATATAATAAACATTATAATAGTTTTTTGCAACAAATCCTAGTATTGCTTATAGCCTATAATTGAGATTTAACATACAGTATTTTAGTTTATAACACTTTTTATCATTAATTATACATATTGTATAAGTTGTTAAGCATATGACCAAACTTTTAATAGGTATATTTAAAGGTATATTTATCTATAATACAAAGCATTGTTCATAAGATTTAAGATTTCATTTTTTAGTCTAAAAGTTTTAGATTTAGAATTTTAAAAATAATTGTTTATTAACTTATTTTAATATTTTATTGTAATTGGTTTAGAATTATGATATAAAATCATTTGTAAATAAATAAATAATTTCAAATTTCAGACAATTTTCTTTGTTTCCCAAAGTTTTAAAGATTTAACAAAAATAGTTTAAATTTAACTCAAATAAATAATTCTTATATTTTAAAACAATTTCAGATAAAAGGAAAAATATTTTATTGATTCACAGGTCCTGGAGTTTGAAATAAAATAAAATTATTGATTAAAATGGTTTCAAACAATACAGAGTTTATATTAACTTAAAATACAATACAATACATAAACAAATCATTAAATATTGAATAGAATTCACAAAAATGACAATTTCTCTCCAAATATAATAAAATAAATTATTAAAATATTATTGATATTATTTTTTAAAGTGTATAAAATTGTTTCAATTTTCATTCAAACACTTGAATGAAAGATAATTCAAATGCAATGAATGTATATTACAGTGAAGGTGTCATATGGTTTAGACTCAATTCACAATGAATTTTTATATTAGTCTTTAATTTATTATAAAATAATTTAGGAAATGATCATTAAGTTTGTTGTGAGTCTATTATGACTTTATATGATATTTAAGAGGTTATAAAATTTATATCCTTACAAAGGATATATGCTTATAGTCTATAGACTGGCAATAACTTCAAACATATTGTTTTCTATTAATATAATGATATTTAGGCAAACCATATATCGGATGCAGTACTGTATTAACATTTCGTGTGCGACCGATATTTACAGTCATGTAATCGATTACAAAA